AAAAAAAAAAAAAGAAAAAGTATGAGAAGAGGACCTAGGATGTTAGATTTTGGTTGACATGAAGTTCTTAGATGTGAAATGATGAGCCAATCCCTAACTATAGCTTTTAGAACTTTCTAGAAAAAATAACTTTGGGAAGGTGTGAGGGGTATAGTAGAAGTGGGGGGGGGTGGAGGCAGAGCATGATGCAGCCCAGACCATAGCACTTCAGCGTGAGACACAGGACCACAGTGAGAGCAGTGCAAGGAGGAGATGGCTGAAGAGGCGGATCAGAGGAGGGAGCCACAGTGCAGGTCACTCAGAACAGGTAGGGAATAAAGGCCCTTGAGGAGCCAGGTCCACAAGGACAAAGCAGGGGTTGATAACATGGAGCCTTGATCTCTCAGAGGGGCCAGAATCTGCAATATGGTGTGAGGTGCAGAGTCAGAAGGAGGGATGGCTCTAGATGAGCGTGTGCATACAGTTGGGGAGAGCAGAAAGAGGGAGGAGGATCAGAGGCATTAGTAATTTGCATAAAGAGAGAGAAGAAAGCCCTTCAGAGTCTTTTCAATTTAGCGTTTTGAACTCACATTCCAACTGGAATTCATTGATACGCGCCTGTATTTCTTGAATAAATCCAAATAAGTAGACTCGGAATAGTTCCTCCACTTCAGTAACCTCCTCGTCACTGAGGTTGCCCTTGGACCAGGGCTTCAGGAATATGGCAGTGCCCGAGTCACTGTCCCAGCCGTGAATCTGCAAATCATCCAACCAGCCTGAACCTTCATTTTTTGCCCATGTGCTGTTGACAAAGGATGAGATCTGGATGACATGGTAAGAGCTTGGTCCCTGGAAGCCTGTGAAGAGAAGGGGACAAGCAGGAGGGAGTGAGACGGAATGGAAATGGAAAAGATCCAGATGACAGGAACCTGGATGCTGAAGAACACATAAAGGTTGACACATGTGACTGCCCAGAACTTCAGGCTCCATCTCCAAGACCCAGAGAGGCAGAAGCAGGCTGGAGACCACAGGGCTCAGACCTCTCTTTTCTTAGTGAACCTGGGTACTGCAGCTTTCCTTTATCCAATACTCCCGTAATCTTGCTGGGAGCTGCCAGAGTGACTCTTACCATCCTCACTGTCAGCACCTGGGAGGAGAATAGTTAACAATTGAAATGGAAGAAGCAGCATTTCACAGGGAGATGGAACTTTTCACTTGCAGAGCTGATGTTTGATGTCTGATTTCAGCAAACCTTCTTCTCAGTAGCTATAGTGACTTCCTCTCTTTTCCAACTGACAATTATCTTCCGCCTCCAAATTGTGCTTTAGTGAAAAAAAAGTGCCTCCCACATCCTGGAGCTTTATAGCCTGCCTCTCGTCACCCCACCCCTTTCTCTTTCCTCCCTGACTTTCAGCTGTTCTGTGTCCTCAGCTTCCTTTAGATTACCATGAAAAGCCCCTATGTGATTCTGAAAGGTCATTTCACCTTCCTCCCCTTTATTCCCACGTGTGTAGGTTAAGAGGGTGATGTAAAACAATTGCTTATCTCCCAGTCTGCTCTAACTTAGATGGAGCCTTTGGTTTATCCACCTGACTCAGCCTTTCTCCCTCCCTGCTGCCCTCTCTTCTTAGTCCCTCTGTCCCTGCTTCCTAAGATTCTCAATGTCTCCTCTTTCTAATATCGCCCCTCCTTGTCTGATATTCCTTACCCTCCTTTATAGTGTGTGTGTTGATGATATTCACTTAGCTGAATGAAGAGCCTTTATGATGCCATGTGTGCTGTACACCCAAATCCCAGAATCAAATGTCATAGATACCATCATTCATAATCCAGGCAATATTATTTTATACCTTAGCTAATGTTGAGGGGAAAATAGCACTTAGTACCAGTATATGGCCTCTACAGTAACTCTTGGCCTTTGATGTTTTTTTGATTTTTAATTTTAATTTTAATTTTAATTTTTTTGAGACAGAGCCTCAAGCTGTCACCCTGGGTAGAGTGCCGTGGCATCAGAGCTCACAGCAACCTCCAACTTCTGGGCCCAAGCGAGTCTCCTGCCTCAGCCTCCCATGTAGCTGGGACCACAGGCGTCCACCACAACTCCCAGCTATTTTTTGGTTGCAGCTGTCATTGTTGTTTGGTGGGCCTGGCTGGATTTGAACCTGCTCCCTTAGGTGTATGTGGCTGGTGCCTTAGCCACTTGAGCCACAGGCGCCAAGCCTGGTGTTTTTTTAAACAAGCGTCCAGGAGACAAGCAGAACTCTGGAGGTTGTGCTCTGTGCACCTCTCACCTATGTCAAAGGTGCCTCTTTCAACAAGATTCTATAAGCAGTAGAGCCATATTTTCCTTTTCTACTATCTCAAAACTCTGCCTACATTTATGCCTTTCTATCAACACATAAGGCATTAATATGGAGCCTAGAAGGGATCATCTCCTATCTCCTCTTTCTATGCCTTTTGCAATATTTTTTTAATTTAATTTTTTTTTTTTTTTTGAGACAGAGTCTCACTATGCTGCCTTCGGTGGAATGCCGTGGTGTCACAGCTCACAGCAACCTCAAACTCTCGGGCTTAAGTGATTCTCTTGCCTTAGCCTCCCAGGTAGCTGATACTACGTGTGCCTGCCTCAATGCCTGGCTATTTTTTTAATTGTAGTTGTCGTTGTTTTTAGCAGGCCTGGGCCAGGTTCGAACCTGCCAGCCCCAGTGTATGTGGCCGGCGCCCTAACCACGGAGCATGGACACTGAGCCAGCATTTTACAAATTTTGAAAATGTGTTTAGAATCCACTGACTGAAAAATTCACACTTTAACTAATAGGTTGGTTTAAGTATGATGTTTTATTGCCATCATAAGATGAAATTTCTTGAGGAAGAAAAAGGTTCATAGAGCAAGAGCAAGTCATAGTTATAGGCAAGATATGTTTGCCAGAAAGGAAGAACAAAAGATATCATGACAAAACATATCATAACAAAAAGACCTAAGTATGATTTTTGAGTTTTCTCCAATTGGGAAAAAATTATAAATTTGTATAAATCTACATATCATGCATAAATATGGTGGGAAATGATTCCAGATGGAAGGAGGTGTCACTACCTCATTCTATTATGTAGGGGAAAATGAAAATAAGGAACTGGCATTTGTTATTCTCAGAAATGACTGGTTCACAGTATTAATAAGAGTAGCCTCTAAAGTTGCAACTGATACGAACCAAATGTCAAGTATTCTTCACTTTCAAAAATAATCCAGTGGGTTAGCAGGGCACAAATTACTATCACTAAATTCTTCAATATGTGATAGAATCTAATCCTCTTTTTGGGATCAGTCATAGAGAATAACAGAGACTCAACATTAGTTGTCATTGACATGAACATTCCTTTTTCTTCATAAGCCTTTTATTTTGAGTAGAACATGCAATGCAGAATTCAGGGAAAACTGGTAGACAACCTGGATTATTTTCTATTAAAATGCAAGAGGAAGATCTCCAAAGTTGAATTGTGAACTAAATATCAAATGTTACTCACTTTAAAAGATAACCCCAAAGAGTTAGTAGGGCACAAAAGACTATCACAACACTTGCCCCATACTCACTAAATTTTTGAAGAAGGGAACCCTAAAATATGACAACAGAAATTCAGATAAAATTATGTCATCATGTTAGAATCTGAGTTGGGCCTAAAAGAAGGAAGATAGAGGGAGAGATCTTGCTTTCAATTACAACAGGAGTTCAGTACGGCTGTGCCATATATGTGCAGATTGTCAACACAGATGACAAACAGAGAGTCTCTTTAGAAGACAAAGATATTTATTTGGGAATAGAGCACAGCAATGGATATACAGGTGTTGTAGTAAAATGTATGTGCATATTTAGGGAGGTATAGAAAGACAAATTATTAGTTTATTTATTTATATTGCTTGGAAGTTCATTGAGGGTACAAAGAATTAGGTTATACTGATTGCATTTGTTAGGTAAAGTCCCTCTTACAATTGTGTTCTGCCCCCAAGAGCTGTGCCATACACCATGACCCTTGAACCCCCTCCCTCCTCTTCTCCCCCTGCTCCCTCATTCCCCTACCCCCCACCATGTATTAGGTTATCTACTGCCTTCATATTAGAATCGAGTACATTAGATTCTTGCTTCTCCATTCTTGTGGTGCTTTACTAAGAAGAATGCCTTCTATCTCAATCCAGGTTAATACAATAGATGTAGTCTCCATCTCTTTTAATGGATTCTATGTATATACAATAGTATTCTATGATATATGTATACCACAGCTTGTTAATTCATTCCTGAGTTGGTGGGCATTTCGATTATTTCCACATCTTGGTGATTGTAAATTGAGCTGTGATAAACAGTCTAGTGCAAATGTCCTTGTGATAAAATGAACTTTTTCCTTCTGGGTAGATGCTGAGTAATGAGATTGCAAGATCAAATGAGAGGTCTAATATGAGTTCTTTGAAGATTCTCCATACTTCCTTCCAAAAAGGTTGTATTAGTTTGCAGTCTCACCAGCTGTGTAAAAGTGTTTCCTTTTCTCCACATCCAAGCCAGCACCTGCAGCTTTGAGACCTTGTGATGTGGGCCATTCTCACTGTGGTTAGGTGATATCTCAGGGTGGTTTTTCATGTTTGTTAGCCATTCATCTGTCTTCTTTAGAGAAAATTCTATTCATGTTTCTTGCCCAGTGATGGATGGGATTGTTAGCTTTTTTTGTTAATTAATTTTAGTTCTTTATAGATTCTGGTTATCAAGCCTTTGTCAGATTTGTAACATACAAATATCTTTTCCCATTATGAAGGTTTTCGATTTGCTTTGGTTATTGTCTCCTTAGCTGTACAGAAACTGTTCAGTTTAATTAAGTCCCGTTTATTTATTTTTGTTGTTGCTGGAGTTTCCATGAAAGACTTCCTCAAAAAACCTTTCCCCAGGTCAACATCTTCAAGAGTTTTTCCCACATTTTTGTTGTTTCATGCCTTCATTTTCAATCTTTTATCCATCTTGAATCAATTTTTGTAAGTGGTAAAAGGTGTAGGTCCAGTTTCAGTCTTTTACATGTGATTATCCAGTTCTCCAACCACAGTTTATTGAGTAGGGATTCTTTTCTCCAGTGTATGCTTTTGTTTGGTTTGTCAAAGATCAGGTGGTAAGATTCTAGTTTAATCTTATGGTTTTCTAGTTGATTGCAAATGTCTATGTCTCTATTTTTGTGGCAATTTCATGCTGTTTTGATCACTATGGACTTGTAATGCAGCCTAAAGCCCAGATAGGGTGATGTCCCCAGCTTTATTTTTATTACTAAGAATTGTCTATATGGCAATTGGCTAGATGAGTTTTTTTCTGGTGCCATACAAAATGAAGAACTGTTTTTTTCCAAGTCTTCAAAATATGATGATGGCATTTCTGTGGAGATTGCACTGAATTTATAGATTGTGCTGGGGTATAGACATTTTAATAATGTCTCTTGTAATGTAAGAAGTATTTAAATATTAAATTACTAGAAATAGACATTTTAATAATGTCTATTATTAAATTATTATTTATTTTTTCTTTTTTTTATTAAACGGTAACTATGTACATTAATGCACTTCTGGGGTACAGTGTGGGGTTTTCACATGCAATCTGAAATACTTCCATCAACTGGTCAACACAGCCTTCATGTCATTTTCTCAGTTATTGCTTTAAAACAT